TTATACTGCTCACACGTCATGGGGTCAGAATATCAACACGAATATAGAATTGTTTGAATTAGTTTTGAATTGTATTGTCATTTTGTGTACAGTCTCTATTTATCAAGAAACGAATGTTTTTCACTAAGTGTATGACTTTTGTTCATATCACAAAGGAAGATGGCCGCAATTGTAATATTTTGTCATTCATATACGTATAGAAATACCGAAATTCTATTTCAATATTTCCATAGTTGAAATTATCGTTCTGCTTCTCTTTTTAAATATTTTGTAAATATTAATGCAATAATAAATTTTAACAAGAAAAATAATTTTCAACTATCATCAATATGCGTTGTTATTAAACCTAATAAATCTCCTTTGAGTATTTAGTTTAAATTATAATTTTAAAAAATAATTTATAGTCTTAGTCTTAGTTTTCTTAAATAAAATAAAACAACAATGGAAATTAAAATATGAATATAAAGTTAAAATAACTTAACCTTTTGTCATTTTCTGCTTTAGTGGACTTAAAAAAAATCTATATGTTTATTTAATTTAAACATTTTAAAATAAACTAATTTAAATTAGGAACAGTATAGATCTTTGGTAAATTCCACTTAGAATTGATTATTTAATAAATTAGTAATTACATAATATTATATTTACTATACCAACTAATAAAGCTGTTTTACTAAATCATAACTGAACTCTTATTAAAACTGAAATACAGTAAGACTTACAAACTTTGGAGAATGAATTAGATATTTTATATTGTATGGATGTGCTCTCGTCTCGCTTATCTCGTTACGGTACAAGGCAGTCAAACTTGGTTTGCTGTAAGTACCTACCTATTTATAGAATATTTTTAAAATCTTATGGTTCAAAAATAGTTTTATTTTTACAAAATGATTTACTTACGTAAGCCCTAAGGTTACAAATCTTTTGGAATTTTTCGTCTCTCGAGAAAATTTGCTCTTTCCTAACTTTTGTAATAAATTCATACCTACATGAATAATGTGAGATACGTACTTTGGTCGTAACTTGCTATTTGCTGTAGGGCACGCGTTCACATAATATTAATTGTTGATATATTTTATTTAGTTTCATCTTTGTAACTTGATTTTATTCATGTCAACCTTTAAGTTAAAATGTTTTTATTCAATGCATATGTCAATATTATGAAATTGTGGGTGAAGATGATACACGGCTAACTGGTGATATTATAATAATTAGCTTATTAAAGCTATTATAACAAATATCTTATTTGTATGACTTTCAAGAAAATGTATATTGTTTATTCGTACCCCTGTAAATGTGTGAACTATATTAATAATGTTCAGAATATTAGCATTTAATGGTGCCGATTATAATTCATTGGTAATGACAGTGTTCAAAGTTTTCTCTCGGCAAAAAAGACCCATGACAAATTTTGTTTGCACATTTCCTAGAACCTTCTTAAATATGCACAATTATTCAAATAGTCCATGCTCGTACTAATAATCATCTCATCGTAAGACATAAAACTAGAGCATATTAAGGTGTTTTGATCGGTTAAGTAACAATACGTTCGAGATTTCAAGAAATGTATGATAATCATAATTAATAGTACCTATAGAACTTCACAGAATTCATAAGTGTACACACACATGCATAAAAATAATTGAATTTTCAAAATTCATATAATCGGCATGGTAGACATTCTGAAGTACTGTCGTTATGCACTTATACATGTGTGTTTAAAGAGTATATTATGTAATAAACAAAAGACCGAAAAAAATAAAAAACATGATATTTTTTTTTTCACTTTCAACATTTTTTTACAGTTCAATATTTTAAGTGCCATATGATTACTAATTTTCCATAAAGATAGTCATATTCTACATATTACATATACATTATAAAGTGTTTACATTTTTTTTAAATTAAAATATTGATGCAACGCCACCAGGTATGACTTTATGAGGACAAATATATTTCTAACCTTCTAACTGTCCAAATGTTATGAATCTAAATTTATTTATAATAGGTAATATAAGATAGTAAGGATCTTCAGCCCTTGCGCGTTATAATAACCAACAACCTTAGATTTTGCAACCCCCGCAGATGTTTTATACATACAATGATTATTATATTTCTATACACATTGAGTTATAATAATAATTTTTTTTTTAAATTATTATCTATACATTTTTTTGTTGCTATGACAATGACCTGTACAAATCACGGAATAATATTTTTTTTTAAGTTTTATATTAGAAATAATAACCATAAGTCATATTCAAAATAATATTATGCAAATCGTTTATTTGTTTATTTAAATTAAAATTTATTCGAACAAACTAAATATGGAATGATAGTAGTATTATTAACAATAATAAAATTAATAACTCATTAAATATTTGTTCTTATACTGTATAATTACTTCATTTATAACATCATGGGCTGTGAATGATATATATTATTGAAAACAAACTAAAAAAATTGTATTCGAAATAAATGTCATAATAATGACAATTGCAAATTATTCCATGTCGAAAATACTTACAAGTTCTTGTAGAAGGTAATCATCAAAATAATAAAAGCACAACTCAGAATGAGAAAAGATAATATAATAAGGAATAATGAAGTTGATTCTATTTTGACTGTTAGGGTAATAAAATCCACAAATAACCACCCAAATATCAACCTCAGATTATTCAAATTTTTAGTATCTAGCTAACAAACAAAAACGAATTTAACAAGATAAAGTATAAATAAAGATTATTGAAAAATGGCTAATTGATACTTATTAGCTATCGCGTTAATAATAATTGTTTTACGTATCTTTGTTGCCCTTACAAAGAATAAAGACATAATGCGTATAATAATAATTATAATAATATAATTATATTTTAACCTAAAACCGGGTTTCTTCTTTCTTTATTCATAGTTTATCTCTGGCTTTGATTTAAAAGAGCGTTTCTCACTTTTAGACAAAATTTAGTTAAAAAGCAAAGTACAAAATTTACTGCTATGATGAGATATTACAGGTGGCAAATGTTTCAAAAGTAATTAATTAGTTATAAATAATTGCTGATCTGACTACTGTAGTCTTATTGGCTGTACCTGCTCTTGAAAAAATAAGGAAGGTATTGTTTACATTGGTCCTTTTACAATTAACCTTTCTACCAAACCTTACCTCACCTTACCTGCCCAACTTAATGCTTTTAACCTTTTAAAATTTGAATGATTGAATCTACTTAATATTTTAACGTAAAATATGATATAGAGCCCCTTTATGAAATATGTTTATGTAAGTCATCTAAAAATACTACTAAACATTTAGTTATGCATCGATATATACGTTGGTTATGATTAAAACTGGCAGATAACCTAAGATAAATATCTCATAAAAATATTTTACGGAGTATTTGAGTAAATGTCCTTTACTTTTCTCAGTCATTCTTGTCAATATTGTGTTTATAATTAATATTTATTGTGCAATTAATAACTCATAAATAATTACCTATTTATAGTATTGGTTCATGTGATAGAATAATAGATAAATTATTTAATATAGTCTCATGTATCCACACATACGTGAATTTACCTATGGGTAGTATAAAAAAATAAAACGAAAAAACAATCAGAAATCGCTCTTAACTTACATCCAATTAAATTGAATTTTTCAGATGATCTGGCACCGGTATTTTGCTTATATTGTTTAGTTGTTTTTACTTTCTGTATGGAAATCATCATAACCTAGGCCTAAGAGAAATGAGACTACGCCTATTTCCACCATAAGCCTGGTTGCCAGATTTCTGCATGGCCTGTTTTTCCAAAACCGAACAAGGTTCGGTTCCTGTTTTCGTTTTATTTTCATTAGTGGACAAAACTAAAACTTGGGCAATGAACATTTTAAAGCATTTATAAAATTAATTGAAAAACTTAAAAGATGTATGTCGAATAAAAAATAATTTTTTTTATTTCAAATACATATAATTGAAAATTTAAACACTGGCCATTGCTAACAATACTTTATAACAGACTCTGTAATACGGTATAGGTCACTATATATGGATTTTAAGTTTTAATTATTGACAAAAAGTATATTATACAGATTACAGATGAAATACATTTTGGAAAAGCAAACAAAATTAACTTAAATACGTAATGACAATACTAAAGAAATTCAAGTTTGTCGGTTTTTACACACAAACATATAACACTATAAATATTTATCAATTAGCTTTTAATTTTTTAATTTTTTTTTTATCTGTAGATTACAGGTAGATGGAAAAATTAGTAATATCTAAACAATAGTTAGGTGACTAATCCAATAATGTTGAGAATCAATGGAATAGAGTATAGTTGTACATTTTCATATTCGTTTATTGTTACATTATGTGAAATATATATAACACTATACCTAGCCAATACACTAAAATAACTACATTTTTTGAAACAATTTTATATGTTCAAGTCTTAAGTATCAAAGGGGGATACGCTACTGAAGTATTAAAAGTTTGCGCATAATGTAATTCATTGAAATTAAGTTTTACTATATGTATAAAATATACATTATGTCAATGTAAAACATATAACTCTCTAAAACCTTAAATAGATCGCATTGTAACGAATATCATCTTAAAAGCTCATGCAGACATGCCTCTATGGCACTATGTGCTCAATTAAATAGGAACCTTTGTTTCAAATATAGTAATGAATAAACAGACATTCACTAACAATTCACACAAGATGCAACTAAAATACGCATACAAATAAATTAATTACGAAGTATGAAGAGCTTAAGCCTAATTAAATTCTGTGATTTTTTTATAATTTATTTAAAGCTTTATCGTAAAAAGTTATTTTCTAAAAAGCTCTTCATTAAAAAAATACCGTTTTTACCAATAAAAGAACGACGTTGATTTATATTTATATAGTTCGGATTTTTTCAACCAATAAAATATCTTCAACCTAACCACTGCTACAAAACCAAACTAATTTTGTGACAGTAATAAGAAAAAAACACTGACCTGAAAGTACAAAACCATTTTGCAAGCAACAGTGCCCATGAACCATGTTTCTGTGACATCCCACACCACGGTTGGTGGCAAGCAGATTAAAATCACCAAAAAGTCAGCCACCGCCAAGTTAACGATGAAATAGTTCGTTACAGTTCGCATTGTTCGATTCCTAAAAAATGTAGGGTAAATAATATCAATATAAATTTTAAAGGATCATTGTGTTCAAAATCATTTAAAGATAAAACAATTTTTCTAAAACCTAGTCATAATTGTTTATTCACTACAAATTATCATTGATATTATTATACATTATTAATTATGTGTTTGAATTGTGTTATAAATGTACAATTCTGTTTCAACGTATTCATCAACGCTATTTTAGCAACAATGAAATCTAGATAGTTTATTTTATGCCTACAGCCAAATATTAACGGGTACTAATGATTATTCCATATACAAGTAAATAATAAAAAATAAAGAAAAGATAAATGCATAGAAAGTTGCATCTGAAATGTAAAATATATTCACAAGTTATCGGATGAAATGGGTATAACAATAATTTTAATTAATAAATGTAAAAGCTATTACATTTTTGATTTAAAATATAAGCAGAATAATTTATTAAATATATGTTGATTTTATTTTCAAACAAAAATTGTTTTTGTGTTTTTATTCAAACACAGAAATGTTTATTTTAGATAATCATTGTTAAATAGGTAATAATAAAAGTCATACACTTATAACGATGGATACAATTTAAATTGTGATTTTATGTGGTCTGTTTAATATTTATACTATTGTTTAAACTTTAAATAGAAATTTAAACATACATAAAATATTTGAATAATTTCCGTTTGCAATACATTTGCATTGGTAAATTATACAATTATCCTATAATGTCAATAAAATCAGCAAGTAAGCTTCATCTAAGATTCTAATGACCATGTAAATTTTCGAGGACATCTAATGAATTTAATTATCGTTTAACCTACGACCCTCATTCTAGTTTTATTAAGACCAGTCATGCGTACAAAACGACTTATTCATAAGTAAAAATTAAACCCTTTATCATTATTTTTAAATTATTATTTCAATTTTTTTTATATTATTATTACTATTACAATTTTTAAATTTTTCGTTACTTTTTGTTATCCGAATTTAATGATAAGGGCATATAATTATAACTTAGATACAACAACATAAATTAGACAGCTACTATACACAATGTAAATTTACAAATTACAGTTTACAATATGCTTGTGTACTATTAATATGGATTTAAGTATTAACAATATAAGAAGTAATGGTGTTTAGAGCAATACAATTGTATGACTTTAATAATGTAACACTATCATCTGACCTCTGTTGGCCTTGTAAGTTGTTATTATTTGGATATGATATTATGTGAATTCCAAGTTGGTTTCCTGTCCAAAATTATATTGAAATATTTAATGTTGGGAAAAAAGGGAATTATTGTAAAATAAATTGTACACCTATGTATTTAATTAGAATAAAAATGAATATTAAGTGGCAAAACATAAAAACATTTCGGTAGGATTAATCAAATCAAGTAGAAAATAAAGATTTTGATTGAACTCCCTAAATAAGTAGTCAGCAGTTCTTATATAGAAGGTTTACTACGATATATATATATTTTTTAAATTTTTATTTCGAAATATACAATCTGTAAATAAAGTTTACAATAAGCATATGTGATTCAGTACAAAAATACCAATGAAGAACATGCTTAAAGAAATTACCCAGCTGTAATACTTTTAACGTGATTTGAGTTTGGCTTTCCCAGAGATTAAGTCAGAGCAACATATTATCTGTATATGAGTGATTTATGAGACTGAAATGAAATGTTTATGGGGTTGCTAGTATTTCTAGATTTTTTTGTGTATTAGGATAACTAATGACGAGGAAGCGATGAGTTATTCGACCTTATTTTGAGTAAGGAGGCGATAAAAGATAGTAGTGGGCTTAATACTACTTTAAATTAATTTAAAAAGTTAGTTAAAAGAGAGGAGTTTTCGTTATTTTGATTTGACTATGAGTTGGATTTTTGGTCATCTGCGACCTGTGCTTAAGAAATATTTGGTATTGAGGAAAAATCTGTTTCAAATATTTGCTGCTGGGTAGTCATTATTATTATTGTGCACATAAATTATATGACTTGTATTGGTTTTTTTATTGTTTAGGTTAATATCTTGTTTGCTCGGGGTTGGTGTAAAGAATATATTTTGTAGTTATTCGTAGACTTGGCATCCCATATAGTTTGCTGGGAGGTCTCCTTGGCACAGCGCATATTGGAAGATGTCTCGTTAGAGTTATTTCAACGGGTAATTGGATGTTCGACTCCGTAGAGGACACATCAAAAAACATCATGGAACAGTACCTTTGGGAGTGTCCGTAGTCTTGACAGTTAGACATTGTATAATGTCTCTTCGTATATTAATTTTATGTGGAGTATTGATGATATATTAAATATAACTTTTTTGATTGAGGCTGCATCAAGGTCAACCAAAAATATTGGAAGTTTTGCTTTAGTAGTTTTTTTTAAGAACGTTAGTGACTTGCGGACTTCAAAACCTAGGTCTTCGATGGCAATTCCAATCTCAACTATGGGTGTTCATGGGTGGTGGTTTTTGATTACTGCACGAAAAGACTTATCTTCTAGTGGTTGGCAAGTATGGGACAGTTCCCCATTTTCTTTCAGATAACAAATTGTGTCACGGTATGTTTCAAGATTAGCTGTTTGGATTTTTAATTCATTTGTTGATGAAGTTGTCAGAAACGATCAATTAAATAAGTATTTTACGGAAATTGACAAATTCCAATAAGCCTTGGACGATTTCGTTTTTATTTGATTCTGTTTAAGCAGTAGATGGAAGGATATGTTTTGTTGTAATCGATGTACATTCAAGTTCGAAAATATCCTTCATATCAACGGATGAATTAAAAACTTCACCTGAGACGCTCTGCATTCGATTTTTGGTAGAATTAACTTAATTTGATCCCTCTGTATGTGAGCCGTGAGGCAAGTTTTGATTAAGGTTATTATTTTTGGAAGTTATTATTTATAGTTACTTTAGTTACTTTTTTAACTAAAGGATTTATGAAGAACACTAGTACGCACATGGGTTTGATAAGCTATTAAAAACTGAGACGATTGGTGGTGAACATGAAATATTCCAATACAATTAATGCGGTTAATTTAAACATAAGAAGAAGACAATATAATAACTTGACTGTTTGGTTTGACTGTCAGCAAGAGACAAATTATTTTTATAATGTGTGTTTACTACCTACTTTGTCTGTAATTTAATTTATGATAAATTGATAACTTACATTAAAACAATAATACAACACCTATCGAAATCCATTACTGACTACTATTAATAATTCAAATAGGTACATAAAAAATTCATTAGGTATCTTTTTTTATTTAAATTCGACATAATATAACCAAGAAGAGGTGAGGAAAATAAAGAAGACTGGGAAAAGGCATAATTTGATTGTTCTTGACAGTCTACATAATTCTATACCCTCCCAATTGAAATAAATTATTAAATAATTTTCGTTCGGTTTCTTTTCAATGTCCTCGCAATGCCAATTCAATTAAGTATAATAATATTATAACATTATAATTTTTTTTTCAGTAATATTTAACGTGTCTTACCTATAGACGGCCACGCAGACTAAAGCGTTTCCGATAAGTCCGACCACAAAAACCATTGAGTGCATGACTATAAATACCCATTCGGATTTTTGGGGCGTAATGTAGTCGACCAGGTAATTGTGATATTCCTCATCGGTATAGTTGGCCATGTAGTCATAATCGGTGACATTATCCGCCACGTACGATGGAACAGTTGATTCCCGTCGAGTTGTTACGTTGACGTGTCCTTCGGCCATGGCCATTGCGATTATTGTAATCAACGTCCATCTCACCAACATTGTGTTTAATCCAGACTATATTACAAACAGATGAATCAACTGGTTAATTGTTTTTCAAGTAATTCATCTCATATACTCCATAACTATAAAATAAAGTAATTTATTTAAATAAAATTTACCAAACATAACACAAATACACAATAACCAACGTTTTATATTATTATGGTGAATGGCATACTTTTGTGAATGACGTGGACAATAAAAACATTATATATTATGTTTTATCTAAATGAATAAAAAAAACCCCTTGTGAGACAAATAGTGGACGAAAAAATATTTTTAATTGTTATTTTAAAGGTTTAATTGATCACTGAGTTGTATATTACTATGAATTTTAATACGCATAAGAACAAATATAGTACCCACCTATTACCCAATTCAGAAAATCATAAGTATTCCTTATTGGAAAATTCATTACCCTCATATAATGATTACAAAATTATAAAATATAAGAAATAGATATATAAGTAGATTAATATAATTAGCTTTCAATTTAACCGTCATTTATTCATTTTCTCATTAAAAACAGATTATTATTATAGCTTAATAGTTAATAAATATTTAATTAAAAATACTAAATGTACTTATTATAAATTGTTTTATTTACAAATATTTTTATCATTAATCTAAAGTGAAAAAAAAAATAAAGCTAACGAATTAATCCAATGAGTAACGATAAAGAATAAAACACAATTTTCGGTCAAAACAAATTGAATGGTACAATTTTAAAGAAAAGTTTATCACTTATTTTTTACAACTTTTCATTAAACAATCAAGTAGTAAGCCCCAAAGCAGTTCGACAAACTAGTCTCTGATTAGCTCAGGGAAACATTTTTGGCAACATTCAGCATTTTTAAAGTGCCTTTATTCCAAAAGCGTTATAAAATAAAGATACTTTTTAACAATTTTTCGCGGATTTCGGTTTGGCGCAAAAAAGTTCAATAAATGTATTGTAGGTGTATGGTGTAGTGTATTCAAACTAATCATATACATAGTGTATAGTTCTTATATACAAGCAAATTTTTTTTGTTTTTAGGTATATATTACCTAAATATTTATTAATATTTAAACCAATGTACAAATACACATACCATCTTTATAAAATTACAACTTAAATTTATATATTATGTAAAAATCATGTATAGTGTTAAATATGACATAAATGATAAATAAATAATAGTATGAACTATATAATACTATAATAGTATTAGTATTAACTTCGTGTAGTAAACGTTTTATTTCACAAAGTAAAAAATTACATTATGTCAAATTGAAGTGACCATTTCATAAAATATTTTCGTATTTTACAAAGTGTGAAAAAGACATTTCCACTTCATGAAAAAATCAATTGCATGAAGTAGCTACAACATATTGTAATATATTAAATACACTCAAGACTCAAATAGTTGAATTATTTTTAATAATGCAACTGTAGTCATATTATTTATTCAATGAGCATTTCGTTAAAAAATGTAAACAACAAATCATTCTAAATTAAACTAGGTAAAATCACAAAATATTTCATTTATTCACGGACTACTTTAAAAAATAAATGCAATTATATATTTATATGAAAAGTATATTTTACATTACTTTTTTTTTTATTATTATTTGAATTAAGCTTCGGCAACTATGGCTATTGGCAACAAAGAGTTTAACTCTAAATTATTTACATGTTATATAAGTTACATATTAAATACTATTGATAAGGTTGGACGTAGTAATAAAGGTTATCATGTGTCTTATGTTGTCTGGGTGGAGGGCTTCTGACAGAATGTTTGAAATGCCAGCTTCTCCTCGTCTATCAGTTTCATATGAAAGGCATTCAGTTATGATGTGTTTGATTGAGAGAGGAGTACCTCAGCTGGCACAAAGGGGTGGGTCTTCCTTCTTCGTCAGATACTGTTTACATTACTTATTAGTTATTAATGATCATTAATTGTGTATACTATATATTATGTGAGGGTAGATAATATCTGCTTTTTAAGTAGATAATGTTGACATTAGTTAGCTTGCAGCTCGACAGTATACAAAAGGCCTTTTTTTTTCATAAATTATATAAAAAAAAACCATACCTATATAGTTATCTTTTATTTTTTTTAATAGGGCTTCAACACTAATGATTATTAGCCTATAGCTGTATAACATAGAGAGAAAAAGAAAATAGGTTGAGAAAATGAAAATAAAATACATACAAATATTTACAATTTATTACTTAAATGTACGGTATGCAAGAACTTGTATATTTCTTCTGTGTTTTTTTTTTCGTTAAACGCTAGTTGGAGAAAAATTGGATTGGAGAAGATTTTCCGTGCTTGGCGTATTTTGAACTTCTATTAACCATGTGATTGATAGAAAGGTTTTCCTTGAATGAGTCTCATACTGGGGCAAGTTTTTTGGAGATAAGGAAGGAGTATGTGAGATGCGTGTGGCTTATTCTGACTCGTGTTATGATGGCTTCATCTCTTCTTTTTAGATTTCCGGGGATATTATCCATTTTTTGATGGAAGGCTTAATATTTCTTTGTTTATTTGTAAGAGGACCTCGGTCCAGTTTTTTTGCCATATTTCCAGAATTTTAAGGTTGATGGTGACTAGTGCCTCAGAAGTAATGGTTAGGTTGAATTCTATCTACTTCTGAGGTAGTGTAGCTTCATTTATCAACTAATTGTATCACCTTTTATATTCTAAATTATTCCAAATCGAGGACAGACACTACGTCGATGTCGCCTATTTTAGCGGAAGAGCATTGAATAATTGAATTAAATTCCACTTTGGCCACTTAATTAAATAAAATATGTTCTTTGGACTGACTTCTGAGAGTTATGTGAACAATCGAATTATACTGAAATTATAGCTTATAAAGTATAAGCATTAGATGTGAGTGCCATATATTGTCATATAATATAGCATGTTTAAAGAAAATATCATAATATTTAGTACACTAACACTTTTATAACATAACTCAAACACTTGGGGCAATCATAAATTACTCGGGAGATGTGTCTAATAGTTTCCTATCGTTTACTCAACAAGCTATAATGTAATATCCAAGGGTCGACAGGACGGGCGTGATACCGAGAACTTTACCGCAGTGGGCCGCTGCTCAAAAATAATTAAATTGGTATAAATATAATTTATAAATATTTTCGTATCACAACTTGTGAGTATGAAAAAATTGATTATAATAGGTGTTTAAAATTTTTGATTTCGGTTCGGCAGATCGTCCACCCCCCCCCCCCTCCTCGGAATCAGTCCATCATCAGAAATTATTATTTTTAACTAGAGCATGGATTTAAATTCAAATTACATTTTTTTCTGAATGTTCTAAAACATTGTTTTCTAAGAAAAAAATTCGTTTAATAAATCAATGAGTTAGAAAATGAAATTTTTCTCTAACATTTTTTAAAACTTTTTTGATATTAAAAATTATTAATTATTTTTATTGTTTGAAAGAATTTTTTGACAATTTTATAAAAACTTAGCTTAAAATCCTTCAAAAATAAAAATGTTTGTTTCTAATATTTCTAATTTGATTACGTATTATGTTCGCTCCTATAACCTATGACTTCAGTTATACAAAACGAAACAACACTTGCCAATAACAGTCGAAGCATTTTATTCGAAAATATTAAATAGCATATTATTGTCCAGTACACAAATGAAACACAAAATACAACGAATATACCTACCTGTCTAAAAGTAAATTTTATTTTATATTAATTTAAATTGGCTTTTAATTGATGTGGGTATTTTATTAAGCCTTATAGGAATATTATAATGCTATGCACTTTAACCTAATATATTGCACACAATAATAAAATATAATACTATTCAATTATTGATGGGTTAATAAGAAAATAAATACATATAGGTATAGTTTCGTCACTTTCGTACGTTCGGTGTAACGTTCTTAATTCATAGAACTATAGAAGTAAACTTTTTAAGTTATAAGTGTTTATGAGAGAGGTTATTACTGGTTAATTTAGTGGTGCACTCTATAGGGTCTCAAGGTAGCAGCTGCGAATAATTTATTTTTTTGGTACCAATTAGATCTTATTTACTAACAGAAACCAGTTTAAAAATTAAAGATCTTAAAGAGTACTTGTATTTTATTCAAATGTTCATTCAGTATTTTAATATTTCTAATATTTATATTATTATAGTATAGAGTATAAATAATAAAAAATAAAGTTTTTCTAAGTTAAGATTATAGGATTGAGACTAAATATTACCATATTATATAAATAAACATTGTAGTGATAACTATTAATAATGTTTAGAAGGTTGGTGTTAAGGATGTGTGGGAATAAAGACCCCCGCGAGTCTGTTTTTGGCATCGATTTGGTGTCTGAATGGTATATTTTCCATTCAACATACTATCCCTATTTATTTTTGAGTGTGCGCCACTGTGTTTAATGTTGTGTATCGTTCCTACTCCCTCGTTACTCGTTAGTGATACAATCGGATATCGATGTTCCATAATGTTATTTGCATTTAAACAATTTAATAAAATGGAACCTTCTCAACTACCTTAAATGAAAACTCGGCTTTCAGGAGGATCAAGAAGATTATTGAAAAAAAAAGAAAAATCCTTAAGAGAAAACAAAAGCGTATTTTTGTTTGTTTTTATATATTATCATTTTTACATTAATTTGTTTTGTATTATCTATGATCCAAACATCTGATTAAAGTGTATGAAAATATCGTTTATTTTTTTTTTTTTTTTTTGTAAATATTATGATTTACACTTATTACCTATAAATCAAATATTCTTATAGATAAGTAACCATTCCATCTACTTACTACCTATGCTATAACCAATTCATGAGATTTACAATTTTATAATAATTTTAAAAAAGGTTAAAGAGGTAATACACAAAACTAATCAATATAATTTTAAAAGTTAGATTTTCTTTTAGATAAAAGATTATGAACGTCCAAAAAGTTGGCCCACCGATCACGATCCATTCAAAATCCATGCCAATATTTTGAGAGTAAATTTTTAGAATTTGA